CAGGGCCCCAAGGCTCGCTCAGGGGTCCCGGTGATGGTTCTGGAAGAGCCGTCCTGCCGGCAGGGCCCTGGGAAGCGGGCTTCTCCCAACCTGGAGCTCTGGCAGCTGCAGGCAGGGGCTGCATCCCCACCACCCTGCTTGGGCGTGTTTTTCTCCTCAGAACACGGCCAAGGCACGTGGCTCTGGTGCCCCCTGGTGGCCGCGGGCCGTGCCCCCTACGTCCCAGCCAGGTAACAAGCAGGGATGGTCTCCTCTCCGTGACGCAACCACCCTCTGCCCTTTGAGAGCCCCACCACACTCTATCCAGAGCATGGCCGGGGATGATGCTGTCTCTGGACTCGGGGCTCTGGAGATGCCACCCACCTCAGCACCCGCTGGTTCAGCCAGGGCTCACAGACCCTCCCCTGCCACCTACCTGGAGACCTGCCTGAAGCAAGTCCCGGAGGCCTGCTCAGCAGGGAGACTCTGGAGGAGGCAGGGCCAACACCTTGCCTCCCGACAAGTTCACAGGCCTGGGGTCACTGAGAGGAACCTCAGAGCTGGCCTCCTGAGCCGTGGTTCCTGAGGGATGAGCTGTCCCTGTGTGAGCTCTGGCCCATTTGCTCTCACCAAACGCAGAGCATGGTGCACATGGGGAAACTGAGTCCCGGGGCCAGTGGCACAGGCAGGATCTGGGCGCAGCTTCTTTCCAGGTTTCAGCCACAGCCTCGCCAGGACCGCAGCCGGTGATGGAGACCTGAGCCGACATTCATCCCTGGGGGCCCGTCAGGCAGCTGCTGCTGGACTGACCGTGGTGAGCAGGTCCCAGTGCCCACGGCTAATGCTCGCTGCTCACGGAGAGGCTGGAGGTTTGCGGTCACCCAGAGGTGCCTCGCAGGAGGGCCTGACCACCTACTTCTGGAAAAACAGCTCCTGAGAACCCTGGGGAGCGGTTCTATGACACGGTGTCACTGATGTCCCCATATGGGTGACGGGGACCGGGCCGGGGGTGACGCTGCCCACATCTGGGTGACGGGGAGGGGCCCAAGGGCGACACGGTGCCCACACCTGGGTGACGGGGACCCGGATCAGGGATGGGAGGGCAGCACGGTGCCCACAACCAGGTGACAGGGACCCAGATCAGGGGCAGGGGGTGACACGGTGCCCACACCTGGATGAGGAGGACCTGGGTCAGGGGTGGGGGCAGTATATGCCCACGAGTGAATGGGGACCTGCTTGGAGGGGGCAGCACGCCCACACCTGGGAATGGGGCTCTAGATTGGAGTGAGGGTGACACGGTGCCCACACAAGTGATTGGAGACCCGGCTGGGGAGGCAGCACTGTGCCCACCTGAGTGACCAGGGGCCGGGCCAGCCAGGGAGGGCTGTTAACAGCTGTGGGGACAGGAAGGCGCCTGGCTGAGCAGCTGATGCCCCACAGTCTCCGCTGCTGTGTGGGGACCCTCGTGGCCACAGCCCCACTGTGCGTACAGCTGGGCCTTGACCAGACCCTCATGGCCAGCCTTGTGGGCCCTTTTACTCGGTCTCTGGGCACAAACAAGGGCCCCCAAGATGTCCACGTGCTCATCCTGGGCCCTGACCACGTGAAAAGGTGTGAGGCAAGGACCCTGAAGGGGACATGGTCCTGAGTCACCTGGGTGGCCCCAGTGTCATCCCAGGGCTCTCGCATGAGGGGCGGCAGTTGTGACGTGAGGCATGGCTGCGAGCGCTGGACCACGGGGCTGCTGGAGGCTGCAGAGAGCAAGGAGCTAGACTCCCCTGGAACCTGAGGAAAGAGCCCTGCGATGCCTCGGCTGTGGGGCTTCTGGCCGTCAGAGTGTGAGAGAGCCCACGTGTTGTCGTCGTAAGCCACTGAGTTTGTGCGGACTGTTCCAGAAGCAACAGGACCAGCGGCAGGCTTCATGATGGCAGGACAGCAGGCAGCCACACAGGGGTTCCCTAGCGCTCTGCTCCGTGGGCCGAGGGCTGCAATGAAGGCCCTCGGGACACAGAGCGTCTCTCCCGGCTCCAGGAATCCAGACCTGGTTACCTTCTCACCTGGCAGCTTTCCTCCTGGGCCCCGACCTCCCCTCCTGCACCGCTACCAGCCTCCCAGGCTGGAAATGCGAAGGACAGCACAGCTCACCTTTCCAAGAAGGGCAGGGCACGTGGCAGAGCCTGCCCCCTCCGGAGGACCAGCTCTCGGGGTGACATCATGGCACAGGCAGCTTCTGCGGAGGCCGCGCGTGTGAAATTCACACAAGCAGTTCTGAGGAACAGCCAGGCGAGACACTGCTGGCCACCAGGCCCAGGACTGGGCTGCTCTGATGAGTGTCTGCCAAGCCATCACTTGCTACAGGATCGCTGACCTCGGTCTCGCTCAAGCCACACGCCTCCCACAGCCCTTCCGGGGGCAGCTGCCCCCCCTCGGCTGGCTCACAGCTGGCCCACAGCCATGGAGGCTGGGGAAACGCCTGCTTTTAACCCTGCCAAGACCAAATGACTTTCTGCTTTGAACTTTTTGTGGAAACCATGTTTTCGGAACAGGTGTGGTAGTTGTGTGTCAACTTGGCTGGGCAGCTGGATGTAGATTCCCCACCATCAGGCTGGTCGTCAACTCCACGGTGGAATCTACTGTGAGCAGCTGAGTCTGCCTTAGGGACTGTGGTCTGCTTCTGGTACATAAGGAGACGCCTTGGGGAATGGTCTCTGGCTTTGGCACCTTGACCCTGCGTGTTCAGCAGCCCGCCATGTTGCCTGCAGATCCTGGGACTGTTTCTGGACTTGACTCGTGGCCTGCCAAGCTGCCTGATGATCCAGGGACTGTGCCTTCTGTCAACCGTGGCTTGGCGGCGTCGGCAGCCAGCAGCTGTCTGAGTGAAGAAACGCCTCTAGCTCAGTGGGTCTAGAGCAGGAGGCAGAGCTGAAGCCAAGGCTAAAGGGCTTTCACCCAGCCCCTAGAGCCTGGCAGTCTGAATTAGGACTTAAAGCCTCCAAACTGAAAAAAAAAAAAACAACCCTATTTCTTTAGAACTGCATGTTTATGGTATTCTTCTATTAGACCAGCACTAGAGGTAACCAATACAGAAGGCATTTGGGGTGAAACAAAATTAAAAACGTTTTTGAGGCAATAGGGAGTTTGCCACAATTGATGTTAGGAGCCGTGAAGTCAGCCCCTACTCACAGTGACCCCACGTACACCAGAATGAAACCCTGCCTGGTCCCACACCAGCCTCCCAATCCTTGCTATGCCTGAGACCACCGATGCTGCCACTGTGTCAATCCATCTCATTGAGGGCCTTCCCCTTCTTCACTGACCCTCCACCTTACCAAGCATGACATCTTTCTCCAGGGAATGGCCCCTTCTTATATCATGACCAAAGTAGGTGAGCTGAAGTCTGGCCATTCTCGCTCACAAGGAGCATTCCGGCTGCACTTCTCCAGGAGGGATCTGTTAGCTCTTCCACAGCATCCTTTGCCAACACCACAACTGAAAACCATCAACTCTCCTTGGTCTTCTTTACTCACTGCCCAGTTTTCACATCCATAGGTGGCAACAACAATGCCAGGGCTTGGGTCAGCTGCACAATCAGTAGGACACACATGCCCTGAGGTGGTGCTGGGGTTAGTGGGATGAGGCCCCGTTTCTTCAGTCATGCAGTTATACAGGCCCCATGGGGCCTGGCTTATATAGGTCCCTTGGGCTGGCCCTCCAGCTAACCCAGCAAGCACAATTCTCTTTGGAGTCATCACCTGAAGTCATCCTGTTACCACGGGCCGGGCCCTGCAGCTAACCGAGTGAGCTATGGCCCTCCTTGGGGTCATCCTGTTACCAGGGGGCCAGGCCCTCCAGCTAACCGATTGAGCTATGGCCCTCCTTGGGGTCACCCCATCACCGTGGGCCGGGCCCTCCTTGGGGTCACCCCGTCACCGTGGGCCGGGCCCTCCAGCTAACCGAGTGAGCTATGGCCCTCCTTGGGGTCACCCCGTCACCGTGGGCCGGGCCCTCCAGCTAACCGAGTAAGCTGAGGTCTGGACCCTCTGTGCTCTGTCCACGTTCAGAAATTAAGACATGGACATCTTGCCGGCTGACCACGGGTCACGGGGCCATGATGGGGGTTAGGGAACGGACATCTTGCTGGCCGACCACAGGTCACGGGGCCGTGACGGCCATCTGCCGTGTTTCCACGGAGGCGACTGAAGAAATGCGCTGTCCCTTCTCATTCCTGTTTTATCCACAGCTTGACGTCCAAGGAGAGCAAAGACTGCTTGCGCCGGTGCTGTCACGTGTCTGCATTTTACACCCGACACTTGCTCGAGGGCTAGGAAGGTGGGTGCACTGAGGCCCTCCGAGGAGCTGTCACCTGAGCCATTTCTCATGAGCTTGTAAAATGCGTCCCAACAAAGCCAGTGGCCGTTCTCTTCCTCCTTTTGGTATTTTCTCCTCACTTTTGTTTCATTTTGCGCTAACGCAGCAGCCAGACTACTAACTGATATCCAGTCAGGACTTCAGGAGGTCTCCTCCTCACATCACCGTCTGGATTAAGCCAAATTGCAGGGAGTGGAGGATGCGTACATGTGCTCATATGAACCCCAGGGAGTGGAGGATGTGTACATGGCTCACACACACGTGCATGACGTGTCTGTGTGTGCATGCATGCAAGCTATGTCTGTGTGTTCACAGGGACATGTGTAACAGGGCAGCGCTCCGTACAAATAGCTTTATTTCTTAATACCTGACACACAGCATAAGTGGGATGAAGGGAAACCCCTCCACTAATCATTGGTCTTTGTCACAGACCCTCTCCTTCCCAGTGATAATTATGGGTCGTGCCGTAATAAAGCTAGCAAGTCCCAAACCTCTTGGGTGGACGGGTTCCCTCCGCTCCCTTCTCTGCTCCCCAGGCCTCTGCTGTGTGGTTTCCAGCTCACTTCATTCCACACTTTAACACTGTGGGGACTCCAGGGGCCAGGCAGACAGAAGGTCCTCCATCGCCGCACACAGCCACAGGGGAGGCCCACTCACTTCAGCCAGATCCACGTGTCGCCCACGTCAGCGTTGTACCCCGGCTGGTACTTCCGACCTGGCAGCTACAAGAGGGAAAGTCAGTTACGCACTGCTTAAAATGGGCCCAACTGCCGTTTCGAAGTCACTTTCCCCTGTGCATGTCGTACTGTCAACCCTAAACCCTCCAGGGCCCCTTCTCACGGTACGCTGTCTACCCACACCTTAACAGGCACTTGAAGGCAGAACCCACGAGATCCCCTCCACACAGGGCACTGAAGAGCCAGGGCCGGCAACAGAGGGCGCCACACCCTCACGCCCCAGGGGGTAGCAGAAGCAGAAGGTGCTACGTGTCCGACTCCCTCCTCTGCTGGCTCCTCATGTGGAAGCCAAGGGCGGCAGGGAGCCTGCAATGACCCAGAGTCAGCCCTGCCCTCAGCAGGAGGAGGGCCGGGGATGAAGGGGCACGGACAGCCGTGCCCACAGCAGGAGGAGGGCCTGGGATGAAAGGGCACAGACAGCTGTGCAGTGCACAGGGCACCCCGACGGGAATCGACTCGACAAGTGTTTGCTCCAAGTTTAATCCTCGCGGGAGGCTGCTTCCTGACCCTCCGTTTGACACTAACAGTGAAAGCAGGTCACTAACGTGGGGGCCGATCACCAAATCCACCCCAGCCAAAGGCAAGTGTCAAGTCCCTCCAGGGCTGATAGGAGACTGGCTCTTCCATGACATCACCAGGGGCGGGCAGGGTGTGGCCCACCCACGAGGCCTCCTCCAGGGCGCCGACCACTGGAGAACTGGGCCATGGCTGTGACCAGGAAGGCAGCTAGAACAGGGTGCTGAGGAGCGTAGCCCCTGACCCCTGGGGAGTGCTGCCCCCACCCCAGGGCTGCAGAGGACAAGTACAGCTTCTCCAGGAGTCGCGGTTCCTAGCAGCTCTGGGGGAAAGCAGAGGGTGCCAGCAGCTACCCCAGGGTGCCCACCTCGAGGCCCTGCTCTCCTGGCAGAGGAGGGGGGCTCATGTGTGGCCTCATGGCTGCACTGGCCTTGTCGGGCTGTGACCCGGGCTGTGACCCGCAGTGTGACGGGGACACGCCACCCCTGGCAGGTTGCCTGAGACCCACAAGGGCTGCCTTCAGGAGGGCGCAGTGGCTGAGGGGCAGGGAAGACGGGCTGCTCTCCTGAGGGTCACTGCACAGGCAGCAAGGAGCAGCTACCACGGTTACATGCCATTTGCCGTCCGCCTGTAAGCACCAGGTCCTCCAGCTCCTGGGTGCCCTGACCTGTGAAGCCAGTCACCTCCTGCTGAGCCCTCTCGGATATAAAAACGACGCTACGGGGGACAGATTCACAGTTCGGCTAACTTCCTGGAAAAGAAACTGCTTCTTAAGGGCAGAAGCAGCAACAAGCAGATGGAGATGCTGACCCGGAGGAAGGGAGCTGTAATCTGCCAGGGCAGAGACCAAGTCAGACTAAAGGCACCGCCTGCAGCACGGGGACGGCCAGCTGCCACTTTGTGCACGTGCTTCGATTCCATTGGGCCTGGGCCAGTGTCCTCTGGTGCAGGAGTGAGTAAACCCAACCACTGCCGTTTCTGCAAACAGGCTTCACTGGGACAGAGGCCCCCATATACCCGCTTATGCCCTGCTGTGGCTACTTCCTGCCAAGAGACAGGGGTTGAGTGTCCCGCAGAGCCCAGAGCCTCACTGCCTGGCTCTTCACTGGAAGAGCCCAGCCTTGCAGCAGTGGGACAGACCAGGCTGGGGCCTGGGCCTGCTCCCTCCCAGTCCCCACAGCAGCCACATGGATCACGTAAGAGACGCCTTGGGCTCCTCTCCACATAGCTGGTGGCTCTGCACGGGGGCCTCGAGGACCAGCTGTGGGGAAACACCCACAAACTCATCCACCAGGAAGAAACTAAGCGCCTCCTACACAAACACTAGCTGCCTTGGGAAGTAGGGACAGAGGCAGCCAATCTTCTCCGACCTCAAGACATACAAGCACCGTGACACCAGAGCATTCCACGTCTGCCCGTCTTCTCCGAGCTCACGACGTACGAGCACACGTAAGACCAGGAGAACGTTCAACCTCGAATCAGGACCCTGGAAGGGGTGGAGGAGTCAAGACTGGAGTGGAGTGAGCCCGCCTGAGCCAGCAAACAGAGGCTCCAGTTACAGGCAGGGGGGCAGCCAAGGGGGGCAGGGTTAAAGAGGGAGGGCCCACCGCTCGCTGCAGCCCTACAACCATAAAGGAGTTTGGGGGTGACTGGAAATGTCCAATTTCCAACTCTGGTTTCCAGTATTGCACTGAAAAGTGTACTGGGCACTATTTCACTAATTTTAGACAGCACTGTAGAAAATGTTTACTGAACCCATGTCTTTGATATGGAGCCCTGCAGACACAGCGGTTAACCTTGGCTAACAGAAAGGTTCCTGGTTTGAACCCATCAGCCACTCTGCAGGAGAAAGATGTGGCAGTCTATTCCCAGAAAGATGACAGCTTTGGAAACCATAGGCAGCCTACTCTGTCCTGGAGGGTCACTAGGAGTCAGAATTGACTCAAGGGCAGTGGGTTTTCTTTGATACACAATTTCGCTAAATTTTCATTACTGTTAAGTAAGCACAAATCATGTGCAACAAAACTTAAATCAGTTTTCAAAAAGCATCTTCTCAGGCGGGGCAAGATGGCGGACTAGGCAGAAGGATTGCACAGACCCTCTTCAACAAAGAAAAGGGAAACCAATAAATACAGACACAGAAGATAATCTTGGACCCCCGAGCTTTGAAGGAAAGGATGCAGATTTGGACTAAACCCCAACTAGCAGAAGAATTTGCGTGAAAATACCAAAAAA